CCGACTTAAAGGTTAAAACAAATGCAATCTGAGTATAAAGAGAGGTGAGGCACTAGAAATGGGGGATGAAAAAGAGAGAGAGAGAGAGAGAGAGAGAGAGAGAGAGAGAGAGAGAGAGAGAGAGTCTGGCCCTTTAAGCTCAGTTCAACGTATTAAGCCAAACCGACTTACACCCCTCCACAAGGCTTGTAGAATATAAGAGCTTAGCCATTTAAGCTTAGTCCGTTAAGCTCAGTCCAACATATTAGGCCAAACTGACTTAAAGGTAAAAACAAATGAAATCCGAGTATAAAGAGGAGAGGCGAGGCATTAGAAATGGGGGACGGAAAAGAGAGAGACATAGACTGATGACTAGAACTTGGGTTTTCTTACTTGACTTTACTCTTTCTAAGCACTTTATCACCTTTTCTCTCCTTTATTTAGGCATGGACATTTTACCCGAACCCGAAAACTCAAACCGGAACCGACAGAAAAACTAGTTCGGGTCGGGTACGGATAATGCCATTTCCCCATTTGGTCTTATTGTGGAGGATCCACGGGTCTTGGATAGGGTACCTGAAATACTCGTAACTTCTAGTATATATGATACTAGGTGATTTTCCCGTGCTCATGCACGGGCATGTATATTTATAAAATAAATATACAATAATAATTGATTGATATTTATTTTAGTTTTTAAATTAATTTATAGTTTGTATGTCTAATTTATATTATAATATTATATTACTTTAATTATATATATAATTTTAGATATGTTACATTTAGTCTATTTTATTGTTTTTACGTTCGATTTAGTTATCATTTAGATATATTGGATTCTATCTATTTCTCTGAATTCAACTATAATCTTTTATATTTTAATATATTAAATTTTTGATTAATTGTCTTATTTGCATTTATGCTGATTGTTATCCTAGAAATATAAGTATATTTAGTAAGATTATATATAACTTAAGATTTTTTTATGCTTAGAAGGAAAATAAAAATAAAAACTAAAGTTTCTGATTCTAAATTACATACATAAGTACTAATGAATTTTTAGAAGCTTTTGAACACATATCAATATGTACAATAATTAAAATATTTTATAAATTCTAAACAAATTTATGCTTTAGATTGATTGGATGGTAAACTGAAATTTATTTTAGATAATTTTAAAAATAAGGATTCTGATTTAGTATTTTGACTATGGTTATATTAAGTTTCACAAACATAAAAACAGAAAATTAAAAATCAAAATATCTATTAAGAAAACAGATAATTTTAACTATTAAAATATAATATATCTACCTCGTTAAATTGTAAAATGTTATGGTATTTTAAAATAATTGTAGTTATTTTCTGTTTTTATGTTTGTGAAACTTAATATAACCATAATCAAAATACTTAAATAAATCAGAATCCTTATTCTTAAAACAAATAATTTTAACTGTTAAAATATAATGTATCTACCTCGTTAAATTGTATAATGTTATGGTATTTTAAAATAATTGTAGTTATTTTCTTTTTTTATGTTTGTGAAACTTAATATAACCATAATCAAAATACTTAAGTAAATCAGAATCCTTATTCTTAAAACAGATAATTTTAACTATTAAAATATAATATATATACCTCGTTAAATTATATATTGTTGTGATATTTTAAAATAATTGTAGTTACTTGATTAAAAGATTTTTATTATTAAATTTATTTTAGTTTTATTTTTAGTATCTCTTAAAATAGTCAGTAAAAGTGATTATTTTGTGAAATTATACTATATAAATAAAATATAATTTATATCTTTAATGTAATTGTAAGATATTATAGTCAAATCAATATACTAAAAAAAATAATTTCAATAATACTAATTATAAAAAAATGTCAATTAAACTTATATCAGTTTATGTTAGTTGATTATTTTATGTAATCATCTAATAAAATAGATAGATATATACAAAAATAATTATTTTGAAAATATATATATAAAGAAAAAAATATTTCTTTTTCTAATAGCAATATTTTTGTGTGAATTATTTTAATGAATTCACATTATATACATATATTGTTTTTTATCTAAGAAGATATACATGTAAAGTATTTTATTACTTTAAAGGTATATTTTATGCTATTTAAAATATATTTAAATTAAATATTACTATTTTGTGAACTTTCCTTTTTTTATTAAACCATATTATATATACTTATATTTTCGTTTTTAAATAGTTTTGTAAATTTTATAAATGTTTTCATATTATTTTATATTGTTATTTGGAAATTTTTAAAAAGGAAATAATATTTAATTGTATTTTTAATTAGGGGTATCATAGTAATCAACCATCATGAGAATTAACGTGAGTGCGACACCTAAGAAAGTGACTTCTCAAATAATATTATAGAGATACCATGGATTTTACCATTTTTAGTTGGTATATAACCTATTTAGAGTCTATTATATGAGTTTGTAGTATGTTTTAGAGTGTTTTCAGGTTAAGGTGCATTTTAGAGAACGTAAGTGATTTTGGAGCCTTTTGAGGTGTAGAATGGCACAGGCGCATCAGATATTTAGCTATGGATGGAGGACTTCCCATGGTATGATTGAGCTGATATGCTGACACAAAATATATCTTTGAGTTAGCATTCCAATGCCACTATTTTGAGGTCAATCAACATCCTATAGCAGAAGAGGTTATGCTCGTTTTACTGAGGAGTGGTATGTCTGCCTCGTGAGATGAAGCTGCCGAGGAAGTGAAGGAGTGTTGATCGACGACACAGTCTTGTTGTCGATCGACGATGATCTCAGAACGTAGACCAAGCCTATTTCATGACCGATTTGGGCCCAGAAGTCACCAATTATTACCAGAATGCCCATGCATGACTTTTAACCATATTTATAGGTTTTCTAAGCCACTGTTGACGACTACACCTTCTATTATTCTTTATTCTTGTTTAGGGTTGGAGAGAAGATCAATTCTCCTTCAGATATTGATTGGAACTCCAGTTGTTTTATCTTTGATTACTTTATTTATCATATTATTCAGACCATGATTTGTGTTATTGCTTGCAAGTCTGAGTAATCATCATGTTAGATTTATGAATTTCATGAGCTTAATGTCAAACTGATAATCTGTTAGGATTGCTAAGGTTGCTTATTGAATTCTACACCAGGGTACTTGTAATACTAGGATCCAGAGGAGTCAAAAAAAGCACGATAGTGTGACTGATTACTTGAACCAAGAATTATAGGACAATTGAGAGACACACAAATGCAATCGATTAACGAAACCCAAACTATGTTGGATTAGATACCTAGGCACACATGGAACTTGATCTAGGATTTAGTTTAACATTATCGTTTGAGCGTTAATATGCTTGTCTGAAGTAGTGTCGATTGATGCGCAGGCCATAACATAGATTGACACTCGCTCCTTGTTCGTATGCGATATCTAGAACATAAGATACAAACATTTGATTAGTAATTTCAAGCGAAAGCTGGATTACTTTTATAGTTCGAGTTCTAGAACTGAATCTATAAAACTCTTAGCATCCTTGAATTGTAGTTTTGAATCTTTTGATAGATAGATCCTTAACTCTAGCTTTTATATCTTATATTCTCAAAACCAACCAATCATCTGCTTAATGCTTTGTTTTCTATTTTTAATATTGATTGCCTAGCTTAACCTTGATATCTCTAGTCTATTGTGTGTTCGCGCTCCATATGGATATGATTCTTAAGTACTACAACTTAACTTCTTATTTGAGAGAGTGAAATCACTCATAAGGATAATTTGAGTGATATACTATGTATATATGAGTGTTTCAGTATACTTTTGGTATTACCGATATTTTTTTAAAGCTTTGGGTCTCAGTTTTCGGCTATAGTTTTGGGTTTCGAATAAAATTTAGATTTTTTAAAAAATATAGTTCAGAAAAATCTAAATTTTTATTTTTTTGGAAAATATAGTTGTTTAATTTATTTTCTTAATTTAAAATTACACAAATATGATTGATGATACAATAATTTTCATTATTTTTTAATATTCAAAACCGTTAATTTTCATATATACGTAAGTCATATTAGGCAATTCTATAATTTTATTTAAGGAAATAAAAAAAATTAATGATAAATTTATGGTTAATTTGATAAAAAAAGTTATTATAAATCTACTATTATTTTCGAAGTGAGTTTTCGCAACAGAGCTCTCACATTAAAAGTTAGGACGGTTAATATCGTTTATACCCATAATGAATAGTTAAAATTTTCAATATATTATTAAACATAAATAAAAAATGAATTTCAATGATTTTAGATTTATCTTTATCTAAAACTATTTTATTTTGGGTGATAGTCTTTATTAACCTTGAAAAATAACTATATTTGTTAATATATAATTAATTAAAATTAAAAACGAATTTCATTTATTTTATAATTATCCTTTTTCTATATTATGTTATAAAGTCTTTATCAACCTTGAAAAATAACTATATATGTTAATATATAATTAATTCTAAATTAAAAACGAATTTCATGAATTTGATAATTATCCTTATCTAGCTTTTTTATATTGTGTTGTTAAGTTTTTATTAACCCTGAAAAATAATTCTATTTGTTAATATATAATTAATTATGAAAAATCAATTCGCAAAGAATTTATTATCTAAAAATGATATTAATTTATTACTAAATAGTTTAAATTTATGAGTATTTTCAAATTTAATTTTTGTAATGAAAATTATTTATATGATGATGAAAAATTTATATATAGAAAAAAATTTATTTAGTTTATTATTAAATATTTTGGGTCTGTGAATTATAATTTATTATAATTTACTTAAATTGATTATATAGTTATTTATAGATATTAAAACACCTGGTATAGATGAACCAACATATTTTTCTCAAGATTTATAAGATCAATTAGATCTTAGAGAGAGATAGATGAAAAAATACTCTGGAAAATAGCTCCCGTTTAGAAAGGGGACAGAGTTCCAGAAAATTCAATGTCCTATAATGAATTGAAGCCTGTGGAAATAGTAAAAGATTCTTTATGAATTGGTGGTTGAGAGTTTGAACTATGTTCAGACATATACTCACTGTCGTGTACGACTCAAAAACGTTGAAAAACTTTATGCCAACTCCAAGAAGTTGAATAAACGTTTACAAATCAAAGTCTTGCCAAGATTGATGATCGTGCCCCAAAAGTCAAACTCTGTTTCGTCAACTGCTTCAACTTGGATCAAGAAGCTTTTTCTTCAGCAAGAATCAATCACTAAGTACATCATTTTGCCAGGTGTACAAGTGCCTTCACATTTCACTTACCGAACCACTGGTAACTTTGAGGTTTAGGGCTTGTGCTGTTTTAGAGGAATCTCTGCCTCCAAAGAGTTGCTTAGTAAATAATAACTACCCAGGTAACTTGTCGGTTGGGAGGTAGACTGGAGGTGAGCCACTTTGATTCAACGCATCTCTCCAGCTCAACTTAAGTACGACCATGTGGATATACAGCTTCACCTCACTGATGACTGCTCTAAGCTCAGTTTAGTAGGATGAGGAACTTCAACTCTTCCGTAGATGGAGCATGTGCTTAAAGAAGCCATCCCCGAAAACAAGACCAAAACTTCAACTCTTCTGAAATAATTTGTTACCCCTAGTGTGGAAAGAGGAGCTTGTTTAGAAAAGTTTATGATCTATCAAGATATGTGTGAATAGCAGTAAAATAGATGTATGTAGAACTCATCTTGTATATGTTATTGACTATGAACACACATCCTTATTATTATAACGTGAAGATATCCATTCAACATGAATAAATCAAGAGAGCATCAATTTTATCACACCTAAAAAGATTGTTTACCTCAACTAATCATTAAATCAAAATTGCCTCTACGTCAAACACTTGTAAGAATAATTTGGTAAAAAATGACTAAAGAAGACTCACTATTGACTTCTTCTGTTGGGAAGAAAACCATCTTTAGCCATTTCAGCAAGCACATCAAGAACCACATCCATATTCCCTTCTCTATGATTGATTTCCACAAGCACTTTAGCCTGCTCTGCTTCACTCAGCTCACAGCTTCTTAATACATTGTCAATAACATTACTCAACTCATCAACCATACCTTCCTTGTGCAACGCTTTAACCAGAGCAATAACCGTCACAGTATGCAAAAGAAATCCGGATTTTACCATCTCCTTGTATAAGCTATATGCTGTGCGCACATCTCCACCTCTGCAATGACCATGGATCATAACATTATACGCTGTTCCATCGGGTTTATGGTTTTTCTCAATCATGGAATCGAAGACTCTATCAGCTTCATTCATCATCCCTTTCATACAGAAGCCTTTGATGAGAGACACCACGCTTTTGAACTCGATGTTACCACAATTCTCTATGAGTGTTTGATACGTGACATCGCTAGGAACTGATTCATCATAAAACAGCTTAAGCAAGAGTCTCTTAGCTTCTCTAGTTCGAGCTTGCTTGTTAAGCCCGTTAATCAGCACACTATAAGTAACAACATCAGGTAACAAGCCTTTCTCGACCATTTCGTTGTGCAAGTTTAACGCTTTCTCCAAACCCCCTTCCACGCAATGAGCATTGATCAAGGCTGTGTAAGTAAACTCATCAGGTGTAAGGCCAACTCTCAGCATTTCATCGAAAAGATCACAAGCTTCCTTTGTCCTTCTCTGCTCACAAAACCCTTGGATCAGCGACGAGTAAGTGATAGTATCAGGTTGAATACCCTTTTCAACCATTTCTCTCTTGACTCTCACCGCTTCATCAACATCGTAACTCCTACAAAACCCAGATAACACCGTGCTGTAACTCACTACATCCGGAGCCAAACCTTTCTCCTTCATATCATCAAAAACTGCTATTGCATCTTCCATCTTCCCAGCAATACAATGTCCATTAATCAGAGCATTATAAGTCACAATGGAAGGCTTAAACCCGTGATCAACCATCTCTTTCAAAACACGATAAGCTTCATTCATATACCCCTTTTGAGAAAACCCATCAACCAACGTCGTGTAAGTACGCTCATTAGGACAAAGCCCTCTAACACGCATCTGATCAAGAAACTCCACAGCACGGTTCATGTTCCCGGCCTTACACATGCTATGTATCAGCGAAGTATAAGTGATGACACTAGGCGACAACCCATGTCTCAGCATCTCTGCATGCATCACAAGAGCTTGGTGAAAGTTACCTTCTTTACAATACCCTTTAATAAGCGTATTATAAGTGACTTCATCTAAAGAGAATCCTCTCCTATTCATCTCCGTAAGAACCAAACTCGTCTCTTTCATCCTACCTTCTCTACACAACCCATTAATAACCACATTGTAAGAAATCAAATTAGGCTCTAAACCCTTTAACGACATCGCTCTCAACAGCTCAAACCCATCATCAATCCTACGAAGCTTACAATACCCATCAATCAAAGTGTTGTAAGTAACAACATTAGGCAAACAACCTTTCTTCTCCATTCTATCGAAAAACTTGAGAGCAGCATCTAAATTCCCAGCAGAGCAAAACCCTCTAATCAAGATGTTGTAAGTGAAAACATTGGGAGAAACCTGTGTTTCCAACATCTCCTTAAACACACCCTCAGCGAAGCTAATGTTCCTCTTGGTTCTGATCGTAGCATCTAAGACCGCATTGTAAGACAACACCCCAGGCATAAAGCCATGACCTTTAGCGAGATGAATGATACTCAAAGCCTTATCTATCAAATTCAAACGAGAGTAAGACTTGACTACCAAATCGAAAACAGAGGAAGTCGAATCGCACGGGGCGTAAGTCTCTTGCAGCGAAGAGAAGACGAGAGAAGCGTCTTGGGTTTTGGCGGCGACGTCCTCCGCGAGGGTTTGTGCGGTCTTGTAGAGCTTGAACTTGGTGAGGATGTGGAGAGCGATGCATTTGCAGCGGAGGGTGAAGAAGTGGTGTGGGTTCGCCCAGGTTAGGAACTTGAGGATGAGTTCTTGGTCGTTCTGGGATTTGAGGAGGAGGCTGGAGGCTGCTTCTGGGGTGAAGGAAGCAGAGATGTGTTGGAGTTGGTATGGATGGCGTCTCAGAAAGGTTAAGGCTTTGTCGACGAGAAGGGAGTCTGGAGGAGGAGCGAGGCTCGAGAGAGATCGTCTGATTAGGGTTTTAGAGAGAATCATTTGGATTTAGGGTTTAGGGGAAGAGGAAAGGGATCAAAGAAATGAAGAAGACGATGGAGGATTGATCTCAGCCGTCCGATCATTCGTCTGTTGTCTGCTTCAGATTTTCGTCACCCATTTTGTAATTTAGAATTTCATTGTTTACTTGACCAAAACAAAAAATTTAAATGTTTTAACTTTATCAAGTTAACTATGGATTTGCCGGCTTTCTTACAATCCATAAGTAAATTTGCTTGGTTGTCAACTTCTCCATGATTTTAGGTTATTTTGCTTATTTTCATGTTTTAATAATTTATTATAAAATAAAAACAAATTTATGTTAATAATATTTATTTTTTAGAAAACATGTTAATTATTTTGTATTAGATTGTTATCTTAAAAATATATTTTCAATTATAAAATTTAATTGAATTTGCTGATTACTTTGTAACTCTCACGTTGAAAGTCAGAGCGGTTAATATCGTTTAAAAATAAATAAAAAATAATTTCAATGATTTTAGATTTATCTTTATCTAAAACTATTTTATATTGGGTTATAAAGTCTTTATTAACCTTGAAAAACAATTACATTAGTTAATATATAATTAATTATAAATTAAAAACGAATTTCATTTATTTGATAATTATCCTTATTATAATTTGTTTATATTATGGGATAAAGTCTTTATTTTGAAAAATAATTATATTTGTTAACATATAATTAATTCTAAATTAAAAAATGAATCTCATTAATTTGATAATTATCTTTACCTAACTTTTTTATATTGTGTTATAAAGTCTTTATTAACGTTGAAAACTAATTCTATTTGTTAATATATAGTTAATTATGAAAAATCAATTCGCAAAGAATTTATGTATAGATAATTTATATTGTGTTATCCAAAACATTATTAAAGATAATTTTTATACTTTTTTGTTATGTCTAAAAATGATATTAATTTATTACTAAATGTTTTATATGATGATGAAAAATTTTATATATAGAAAGAATTTGTTTAGTTTATTATTAAATATTTTGAGTCTATGAACTATAATTTATTATAATTTACATAAATTGATTATATATTTATTTTTATATATTAGTAAAATTATTAAGCCCGCAAGTGCGGGCAAAACACCTAGTATTTAGTTATTTTGATACATATTTTAAATATATGATTTGGTTGTTAAAACAGATTTGAGATGGTTTTATATACATTTAGAGAAAAAAAATCATGATATCTTAAAAAATAAACTATTTGTCCAAGACATTGAAGATGTAGCAATTTGATTATCATGCCATTAGAGCTTATATCAAGATGATTACAAAAGAAACTAAAATTTGAATATGTACATGATAATTTATTAAACATTTTCTTAAAAAATATTATTAATTTTTTAAAAAAATTGGTTATATTTGAAAGATTTTTTAATAATTTGAGATGTTTTTTATATTTTAAAAGAAGATACATGCACATTGATAGTTAATAGCAGAGTTTCAGTTGCAATTATTATTTCAAAATTTAAAAAAAAATAGAATTGTTTTGTTAAACTAAATTTCTAATAAAACTCAAACCAAGAAAATATTATTAAATATTATTAAACATTATAATCACATACTTAATTAAACTATTAGACTTTAATATCATCAAGAGGAATGCATTAAAATAGATAGAAAATATAAAGCATATTTTACTTATTTAAGCTGGTAAATCATAGTTTTTACAAAACATGATGAATGATCTAATATGCAAAAAAATATGATGTATATTTGGCATGAGAAACTACGAGAATAATTTCTTGTGTGTTTGCATGTTTGGCGTGAGAAACTGTGAGAATTTAACACTTTTGTTATGGTTCCATAGGATCTTAACACTTCTGCCGTAGGAATATGCATGAGTTGCTCAGCTAGGCTGTTCCACATGAAAATTTTCAATTTGTACTTTTTCTACCTCATTTGATTCAAGTGATTCATCTCCCATTCAATACAATTTCATATCTGTAATGACTCAGAAAAAAAACTAGAAAATACTTGATAAAAACTCAAAAACACTTTAGAAAATATTATTTGAATGCGCCAAAAATCATATATTAATATCAAATTTGACACCGTTGCCAGAGAGCATGGATCACCACTAGATTCAATTTGTTTGATTTAGTCTAGGTTACTTTTATTTTATTTTTAGTTTATTTGCATAAAAAACAATTTTTGTGTTTCAGGTACATACATCTTAATACCAGAATGAAATGAGAAGAGGTTTTTTAGATTTTCAAAGAAGGAGCATGTTGATTCACGCACCATCCTTAAATCTACAAGGGAAACATTGATCGACGTCCTCAAACCAGCAGCAATCGACAGCGTACACTAGGAATCGATTGACACCACCACCTTGTCATCGATCGCCACCAACAACTTGGCGTCGATCGACACTAAGATCTTGTGTTCGATCAAGACCACTTGCGACAAGAAAAAAGAGATCAAAATTCTCATACTTGAGGCTGATGAGAATGGGATCTTATGAGACAAAGAAGGTTGTCTTTGCTACAATACATGAGAATTGATTAACGCACAGAGTGCTATGATTCTGATATTATTGTTGTTGCTGAGATGAATGATTTCAAGCTGAGCCATGAATGGTACAATTGGGTATCTCAAGACCTTTTTTAGGGTTTTCCTCATGAGCAAACACATTAAAGAACTTGTGGAGCTAATCGAAAGTAGCGAGCAACATGAAATTACTGAATACCACATGCTCTACAATATTTTCCCATATCCTATCTCTGGAGATGCATTTAGATGGTTAAGCCAACTGCAGCCATGATCTCTAACCAGCTGGAAGGACATTGAAAGAGCATTCCTCTACGAATTTCTTGATGATGCTGCAGCAGCTTAAGAAAGGGAGAAAAATGATAAGTGGGACATGCTTATGGAAACTTGGTAAATAAGAGTGAAGAAGTGGTTCTAAGACAACTTGTCGAGTACATTATGGTAAGGGTTCATGAATCACATGGATCTAAAGATTCGAGCAGAATGAACAGAACTGGAATCGGTGACCTGACCTCACTATCGAATGACACTCTTCATCCACCGTCAATCGACACTATTCATCCACCATCGAATGAAAATGTTCATCCTAGCATTGTTCACCCCTACAGTGTTCACCCTGACACTGTTCATCCACTGTCGAATGATAGTGTTTATCCACTGTTAAACGACAGTGTTTATCCATTTTCGGACAACACTGTTCTTCCACTTTCGATTGACACTTGTCATCTAACGTCGAAACGTCGAAACGTCGAACGACATTGTTTATCTACCGTCGAAACGACATTGTTCCTCCATCGAGATTGACATTGTTCATCTGATGTCAAATGACGCTGTTCATTATGACATTGTTCAAAATAACACTGTACATCTCGACATTGTTCATCCACCGTCAATCAACACTGTTCATCCACCGTCGAATGACACTGTTCATCCATGATCGATCAGCACTGTTTATCCAATGTCGAACGACACTGTTCATTCCAAAATTGTTCATCTCGATACTGTTCATTCCGACATTGTTCATCCTGGTAATGTTATTCCAGGACTATATCTTCAGAACATTGCAGAATCGACACTGAAAAGCACCGATGTATCAAGCTGTGATCTTACCTCAGATGTAGATAGAGAATATTTGTTGGAGTTAGAAGAATTCTTTGAGTTAGAGGATGGAGCTAGAAGAATGCTTGACTCAGAGCAGAAGTGTGATGACGATTAGCACACTTCGGGAAGAGATTTGGAGAGTTCACAAAAAGCTAGCATCAATCGACACCCACCCGACATCATCGATCTTCGCCCACCCGAGAGCATCGGTTGACACCCACCCGATTACATCGATCTACTCCCATCGTTGGACGAGCTGCCACGGTACCTAGGTGAGCTGGAACCTGTTGAGGAGAAAATACACAATTCCGAGGTCTTGCACCATGGTTTCATGAACATATGAGACCACCTATCTTCACAGAAAAGCTTATGGGTTTCACAAAAGAGCAAAGATGATACATGACCCTTTGAATCTTGTGGTTCCCAGTGATATTTCTGGAATCAAATTTCTTATCCCACCTGATAGGAATATGGATTTTGGTTCTTACATTAGAGTATTGGAAGATCTTCAGCCTGCACCTGTTTCTTAGGAAAAATCAGGTCTAGAAAATGATGTCAAGAAGGTCTCTTCGGTCAACAGTACCACTACGTCATCGATCGACGCCCTTTGCATATCTGAGCAGAAAGAGTTTGAAGTGTATCGAGATCTTTTTGATGAAAGCACCAACACACGACCAGACAAGTCTGAGGGAAAGAAGAGGAAGAATTAGTAGAAGAGAAAAAGGATCAAGGACACTCCTCGTTTATCATTGATTCATAAATTCTCAGAAGGTGTCAGAAAATTCAGAGTGCGCAACAAATTTTTCTCACAGTCATTTACAAAGCATAGAGAACTCCTTATTGCTGAGATTATAGACAAAAGAGAAGAGTCTATGGAGGCCTTCACAAAAAAGTGATGAAGATTTGACTGACACCTGATCAATGTCGATCGACAAACCATCACGAGCATCGACCGATAACTACTTAGATGCATCGATCGCCGCTCAACATCAGCAAAGCAGGTATACATTTTTCCTTGTTAAATTTGATCTTATGAATTATTTCTTCACCAATCTCAGATTGTATAACACTGGCGACATTATTGTTTAAGTTTGGGAGAGATTTACTAATGTTGTGTTTTGTTTTGTGCTTTATTATCTTTGTTTTTACTCAAGTTCTTATAGAATCAAGAAAGAGATTATGAACGTTTTAATTTTTTGTTTATTATCTAACCACTCAGTGTATACTATAGATACCAAAGTAGATCACCTGCTAGTCATATCCACACTTGCTAAGAATTTTGAAGGAACCGAAGCTGACCTCCAACCTAATTTGACTTAATTGCTTGTCTTGGGGGGGTGGTATACATTAGAATAGAGTCCTCCTGCAAATC